ACACATCCATATCCATATCAATCATCCTTCCCTTTAAGAGCCCTTTATCATGAAATCTTGTTTCAACACTGTGCATGTTTCATCATATTTAAAGACAACATTCATTAGAAGAAACATTGTATACTTGCTTAGCTTCCTGACCTGAGCAATATTCATTGTTTTATGCATTGCATAATGTGCTGAGAAACATTTATATATCAATGATTTTTAATAATACAAAGCATATCGTGCTTAGCTCCTTGACCTAAGCAACGTTCATTATGCAATAATCACTTCATCTGTATACGTGCTTAGCTTCCAGACCTAAGTGACGTTCAAGATCGTTTCTTGATGCTTAGCTCCAAGACCTAAGTTAATTCATCTATCGTGTCACATGATGTAATTTTCCTTAGCCTCCTGGCCTAAGTATATGTTTTAACCATGTGTTACGTACTATGTACATATAAATTTATGTTTTAGACCTTATCAAGTAGAGCGCAACCCGATTTTGGCGGGTTTTGGAAAGTTTTTTTCCGCCCGGAATGGCTCGGCCCGAAAATTTTTTAAAAATTGGGTGGACTAGGGAAATCAATTCAATGCAGTTTTAGATATTTTTTTACCGGCCCCGAAATTCGCCCGAAAAGCGTGTATGGTTTGGGCAGGTTTGGGCACCTATATTCCGTCTCGGCCCCAAGAATGACTTTTTTTTTGCTTTCGGCCCAGCCTGCCCTACCCTGCCCCGCCCATTGATCACCTCTAATATGTTTTAACCATGTCTTATCTTTGTCAATTATCCTAACCATGTCTTATCTAATATGTAGACACCCATTTGTGTCTCCCCAAAACCAAACCAAGTGATGAGTACCTTTCACGTCGAATCATAATCGAATGAAGTGAAAGTGTGGAAAGTTTAGTGTTGCGGAAAGTTTTAATTTCTTTTCTCTTCTCTCTGTTTTTGAAAACTTATTTTAAGAAAACAGTCAATCCAGTTTGGTTGGTTCATGATATGGGTCCAATAATGGTGTAATTGGATGGGGCTTGAAAAGAGTTTTCCAACGATATATTATAAGCCTAATTCCGATGAATATTGAGGAAGTTATGGCCAAATTACTAAATTGGGCCTGGTTTGAGCCTTATATGCGGCCCAATGATCTAGGGGAGGGCCTAATATGAATTTATCATTCCTAATGCAATTAGGAATTGTTTTGGTTTTCTAGATTCTTCTAGAAGGTTCTTTTCATTCCTAATTCAATTAGCATTGGTAAATTGACTTTGGTTGACTTTTTAGAGTTTTAATCAGAATCAAAGAATGTTTTATGAGGAAAATACGATTTTATCCTCCTGTACGACAATTTCTATCTGATTTTAAGAAAACGCGTGAATTTCTGAGTCGGCACAAACTCTCATCAAGATTTTCTTGATTACTCTCTCTCTCTCTCTTTTTCTAAACTAGCCTTCTCTCAAATATAAAAATTCCGCACTCATTAGATCTAGATACACCTAGCCATATTCGAAGTTGCCTTCGCCCTAGACGTGACAGGTTTAATTTCTGAGGGTTTAGTCCCAAATCTCTATTTCAATTATTTAATTTAATTGTTTTATTATTTTCCTTGAAGTTACTAACGTGTGTATTTTGTTATTAGAAAGAAGTACGAGGCATCAAAGTAAGTATTTTAATGGTTTTTATTGATGTTATGATATAGAGTTCATGCTTAGGTTGTTATTATGATATTCCTAGTATCATGTATAGGGTAAATTTAATACTAAGTATGATTGTTATGATGCCTTCTATTTTCTTTCATAATATTCATGTTAGTATCATGTTAGGGCTAAATATATGATTTTTATTGCTTAGTAACATGCTAGGGTTTGTTATTAATCTTGTTAGTATCATGCCTAGGATTTTGCTATTAATATGCTTTAACATGAACATGTTTATGATTATAATTTTTATTATTTCTGTGATGATTATTATAATTATTGTTATGATGATTATTATTATGTTGCTTGATGATATTTATTTTTATTGTTATTGCTTGATCACACCTTTTATTGCATCTTTAAAGGGAATTTGTACTTGTAATCACGCTTAATAAGATAATTGATAATCTTGTTTAGGGTTAATTTGATTATAATACAAATGATCGCCAATAATAGATTTATTTGTGCATTAATATTCAACCAACATAGATAAACAGACTTAGGGTTAATACTTTTGATTGTATGTTAGTCAGAAAGCGCACATGAATATGATCAGAATAAAGTAGAGGTCTATTATTAGGGCAGGTTCAATCTCTTTTAGGTTGGATTTGTACCTTCATCCCCGAACCCTATTTGGTTCAAGACCTTATGGAGTTAACGATCTCTTAGATCGTTAAGGGGTGTAACCTTCACCTCGTGAACGGTTTACAAGTTCCTAAAAACTTGTTGGCGACTCTTTTGCTCTATCTTCTTTCCCTTTGGACGTCATGGTACTTTAGTGTATGATCACAGTAGGGTTCAAGCTAGGGGATTAACGCTTGAAATATTCTCTACAGTTTTTGGCGACTCCACTGGGGACGATTTCTATTTTAATTCCTGAATTTGTTTCGGCAATGATTTAGAATGAGTGGATGAGACTCGAAACATTCTAAGTATTTCATGTGCGTAATTTTGATTAACATTATTTTCATATGCATAAAAAAAGATCTCATTGGAAAGACCATCCGTAATGAGTTAAAACATAGGATTTTACACGTAGGAAATTTGAGAAATATCTTTCACAACTAAGACCGAAATAACACTGCGCGAAACTGGAAAATTTTATCGAGCACAGAAAGCTGCTGAGGCATGTAGGAATTAGCGTCAGCGACCAGAGTATTGGCGCCAGACATTTAACTGTAGTGTAGACGACAGGCATGTCGCCAGGCGCTACATCTAGAACCTGGCGCCAACCCCTTTTTGCTTGCGCCAAATTCTTCCAACACCGAGCCAGAAATATGCGTTCTAATTTCGACCAGTTTTTCGCATTGTTTGCTCAATCCTACTTCCTGATAGAGTTTTTCTCACTTTTCTGAAACCCATATGTGTTCTACATATGGATATAACCCTTGGGGAATTCATGCTCCATCTACCTGATTGAACGCTCTGAGCAACAAAGGGTACATCTGAGATTGTTGAATTCACCAAACTATGGAAGCGAGTTTTTTCTAAAACTCGCGGTGTCCCATCCACTCACGTCAACCTTTCACGGTTAGGCTTCCGCGCGGTGAACCCGGACAATTAACCATGGACCCTCTATTGACTAAACCATATCCCGAACTTTAGAGAACTAGAGCCATGGTTAGGTTGCAAACTCATTGCATCATATCGTGCTTACTTAACTAATTGTGCATTATTTGTTGTGCATATACTATGTTTTCTTAACCGTTTGTTTGACTTGTGTTGAGATTAAATAAATTAATGACTTACAGAACTTTGCCTAATTAATTAATTAATTAATTTGAGTAAATAAAGTCTAATATTTTAATCAAAATTGACCTAGTACGACTTTAGGCATACCCCTGTTGATTAATAACACCGAAAACAGTTCCAGATTGAAGCTCCAGCACTGGCGCCAAAGTCTGGACTGTAGCGCCACTCTGTGGAGTGTGGCGCCCGGCGACAGCTCTGTCGTCTGGCGCTACACTACAAAGAGAGGCGCCAGTTCGGATTATTGATCAAGTCATCACCTAGTGTCTAATTAACCAGTTTGCTAATTAATTCGATTAAATTTCGCTGTCAATAATACTTTGTCAAGTCATTAATTGAGTCTAGACACATAGTCTAGCCACATGGTCATGACACGAGTATTAACATGATACCTACACTTACTAGTCTTAGCACACACTTTGATTATATATCACCAAGACCATGTCTTAGGTTCATGCATGAGTCGGTTTTTTCGTCATTTGAGTTGGGGGTACATTCTATTCCTAATTTCTTCATATCCCTCCATCTACGTCATTTTTCTTCATATTCTATTCCAACCTTTCTTCACTTCTTCCATCCATTGCATGTTGAATAAGTTTGAGTCAAATAATTAACAATAAATATCCCCAAATTCCTTTTCCACAGTACTTGGTCGAGGAGAGAAGGGCGATTAATCAAGTACAACCTCTTTATTCAAGTTTCACTTTTTGATAAACCAATTCGTCAAAAGAGAAAGGCTAGAAAGATAATGGCAAGTCAAGAAGAGGTTAATGAACTTAGGAATCAATTGAATGACGTGACTGAGGTGTTAAAGGTTTTAACCCTCAAAATTGATGACCCTGTGAAGCAACAACAAATGAAGCTCATGCAAGAAAGCTTGAGCAAGCTATCTAGTGACTATAAATTTCAGGGCATTAGTTCACAAGGGGTCTCGCTGGACAAGGAACTTCTTTCGCATAAGTTCAATGCCACTGACATCCCAAAATTCAAGGCAACAGATAACCCTTAGTTTCATCTAAGAGCTTTTGAAACCATAATGAGTATTAAGGGTATTGATAAGAAAGTGTTCCCCTCTATATTTTCTCTATCTCTTGAGACCGTTTGTCAACATTGGCTCTTTTCCCTTGACAAAGAGAAAACCTCTTCTTGGGAGTCGATAACAAATGCTTTCATAGATAGACACTAATAGAAATATGATTTTGGGCAACAAAAAAATTCATCGCCCAAACACTTGGGCAACGACCTCCAACTCGTCGTGAGCTCGTCGCACAAGGGTCGACGCCCATGCATGTTTGAGCGACGAGCTGGTCTTTTGTTGCACAAAACCTATTTTGGGCGACGAGTTAGGTTGTTGCCCTTCTTACATATTTGGGCTACAAAAGATTATTTCGTTGCCTATGTTGATTAACTTAGGGCAACAACTTTTATTTGTCGTCGCCCAAAGGCAATTTCACAGCAGCACAAAAAAAGGTAAGGGCAACAACAATGGTGTCGCCAAAAACCTGTTTTAGGCACGGATATTTTATGTTTGTTGCCCAATGTTACAAGGCAGCAGGTTTATCATGCAATGTGCAAGCATTTTTTTTTTTTGCCCAAAATTATATTTGGTATGTGGGCAACAAATTATTTATTGTTGTTGCTACCACACTTACATTTCATGATTCCGAGATATAAAATAATCTTCTTATGATAACAATCATTAGTATAATAGTAATATACGTTGACCCATGTTCAATGCATGGAAATCAAAATTACATCTATATTTATATTGTTCTACTAAGAAAACTATACAAAGTTAAATTTGTCAATCACTAGATAATACCCACTAAGCCACTATATATATAAGTAATAGAGATCACAAATATATCCAAAATGTACTTCATGTTCCTTACTCCTTAGCTTGTTACAATAAAGTCATCATCCCTTGTTCCTGAAAGGCAATAAAACAAAATCAAATACACATGATTATAAAAATATCATCAAAAGTATTAGGAAAAATTAAGAAGAATAATCTCAACTAGCTAAGTATAAATTCTAGCAACAGATTGAAAATTTTAGTTCTCTTAAAATTAATTAGGAGTCATATACATACTTTATAATACACATTGTGAACTACCAATATCATCCACTTTTCGTACGTTTTTTATAATACACATCGTGAACTACCAATATCATCCACTTTTCGTACGTTTGATTTCTTTAGTCATTCAACAAGATATAATTCGTGCTCATAAGGTCAAAGACAAAATTGTATACTTTCATCAAAGTGATAAAGAATAACATGATAGTTTAGTTTCTCTTTGGTTATAATATCGCCAATGAACAAACTATAAGAACTATCATATTCTGACTATTTATCTCTACCAAAGCCCAGCTAAATTCAAGGAAATAACATCAAACCCCATTGAATATGGGTCCAAACTCTAGAAGATTAAATTTTATGGAAATGATCTGACCTTTTTTCTAAATTATGAAATTGTTTAGTATCCCATTAATTAAAGATGTATGTTAAACATGTATAGAAGAAGGAAGTAAAGATACCGAGTGAACTAAGAAGAGTGAACTAAATTTTTTTTAAAAAAAAAAAAAAACTGAATTGAAAAGGAAAAAAATGACGAAATACATACAGATCTATATTTTTGGTTGTACTTAAAATAAGTCTAAAAATAGCTTAAAGAGAAAACATTAGCACATCAGTTTTCATCTTAGTAGTATTTCAGTAACAATTATTCATGACAATCAATTTCTATTACTCATGTTAGGCCCTTCCATTCCTAAGACCATGACATATAATCATATACCACACCCAAATGTCAAGAGGTCAATTAAGTTCATCTAGAATTCTTATAGAAGATGATAGTCACCTACTCAATTAGTTTTATAGCTATTTCATTAACTATAGTAGGTACTGAGGTACATTGCCATACTATGACACAAGATTGATTAACCCACAATAATTAAACAAGAAATGTTTCTCAAATGGCACATTATAATTGCAAATAATCTGGATAGAAGGAAGAATTTAGTAAAAGAGGTAGCATAAACTTACTTTATGGTCTTCAATTCTCATATAATATCGTGTAGATAGGATCTTGTTGCACTTCAATATGCTCAAATGACCCTTCATTTAAAAAAAAATAAAATAAAATCAAGACAACATTAATTCATACTCCAGGCACAGAAATTCTAGTAACAAATTACAGAAAAATAACATAATTGTAGTCTTCGATCTTTATAATTTCTTAATCAATGTTTTTATATTCAAATATATGCGGTAAATTGAAGTGTATGAGGAATGGATTTATAACAGGATACCTCTCTGTTGCAAGATATTCAAAACACATCAAACCTAAAACAGAGTTGAATTTGAACAAATCAACACAAAACTAACCCATCATAATTCACAAAAAACGCTATCAAAAAATTAACCACAAAATCAATAAAGTTACAAAATAAAAACAACAATTAGAAAAATATGACCAAAGTATAGTACATCAAATCAGATCCCAGAAAAAGTACAACAAACACAACAAAAATTAAGGGTGAAAACAAAATTCTAGCATTAACTTTCATGTTACAATCTGATAAATAATCATTCAAAACTTCGGTACCCATAACGGCATAACCATTAGTTCAATAGTCCACATCAAAATATCCCTAATAAGTAATGTTGAAACAAAACCTAGATAACGAAATTGATGTTAAATTACCAAAGATAAAAAGAAACGAAAATCAAACCTTGGAAAATTTTACAACAGACGCGAGAGAACTCCTGAGCCGTTTCAGTGAAGGAGAGAAACAGAAATGGAGATGGAGTTGAGAGATGAAGAAAATGAAATAGATTTAGGGTTCTAAGGGAAAGAGAGATGTGGGATACTGGGATCTTTGAGACTTTGGTAAAAAAAAATTTAAATATTACTGAAACATAGTTTGAAATTAGAATTTTGAGGTGAAAATTTAGCAGCGCGGAAAAAATTCTGCTTAATTTTTCACAGTTTTGGGCAATGGTTTGAATTGTTTGTAGTCCTTTATCTCTATTAAGGGCAACGAATTAGGAATTTATGTTGCACAATGTTACATTTTGGACAACAAAATATATATGTGTTGCCTATAATTGCATTTGGGCAACAAACCCAATAACTTGTTGCCCAATATGTTAAAATGGGCAACAAATCTGACTGCTCGTCGCCCATTTGTTTTATAGGTCAACGACTCTATTTTCGTTGCCCAAGCTATAAAATAAGGGTGACCAAATTAATTTTCGTTGCACATGCAAACCTTTGTCGTTGCCCAAAATCAATTTTCTTGTAGTGAGATATAAGTGCAACATCCAAGACGAAACAGACCACAGACAACTTGAGATGTTAAAACAAAAGGAAAATGAAGGATTCACTTCTTTCTTCAACAAATGGAGGGAAACTTCCGCTAATATGGTCAAGGCTCCTATCGAAAAAGAATCTGTGAGGATGTTTATCAAGAATCTCCAAGGGAAGTATTCAAGGCACTTAAAGTACCAACATAACTTGAATACTTTCAAGGCTGTCTATAATGTAGGCATTAACATTGAAGATGACATTCTGAAAGATAATAGTGCGAGAGGAAAGAAGAACGACCATCCTTCTTCTTCCTCTCCCATTAATGAGGTACATGCCACGAACGCCTCTAAATCACGAATCCAAAAGTCAAAAAGGGTGCTCACTCCACTTGGTATGAGTTATGAAACAGCTTTCGAGAAGCTACATCACAAAGGACTAGTCATGCCCATAGGGCCCATCAAAGATCCAGTTCCAGAAGCAAGGCCACCCAAGTGGGACCCTAGTAAGCACTACAAATATCACCAAGGAAAGGGTCACGACACTGAGGAGTGTTGGAAACTCAAAGAAGCTATTCATGATCTGATCGACGACAATAAAACTTCCGAAGTTCTAGCCATTGAAGAAGGTCAAACATCCTTCGATCCATCACTTCTTATCACACCTGTAGGTGAGCCCATGATCGAGACAACTTATATAACCTCTCTCGATGAAGTGGCCATAATTGAGGAGGATGAAAGTCTTTTCTTTGATAATACCAGGGAAGACTCGTCAAGTCTAAAAGAGGATGTTCGAAAACTGCAAGATGTCATTGCCATGCTCTTGAATGTGGTAGAAGGACTAGCAAATCGGGTGATGGTTATCGAACAAAATTCTCGCCAAGGGTTTAATGAAGAACTCAATGCTCCTAAGCTACAGGAAAAACGGACCATTGTAGAATACACATCAATAGGAATGACTTACAATGAAGCTTTTGACTGTTTTCACGATCAAGGTCATATCCACTCCGTTGGTCCCAGTCAAGACCCTCCACATGAAAAACGGTTTCCCAATTGGGATCCAAATTCTTATTATCGATACCATAGAGGTCGCGGTCACACTACTGGAAAGTGTCTCACCCTCAAGGATCGTGTTCAAGACTTCATTGATTCAAATCTCCTTCATGTTCCTCCGCGCGACAAGAAGGCCAAGATTAGTAACGATAGTAACAGTGGTTGTAAAGGGAAAAAGAACGACTATCCTTCTTCTTCCGAAAACACCTACTCTAGTAACAGTGTTGGCACTTTCAACCTTAATGAGATCTTAGCCATGGATAATCGAGGATTTAGAAAGCAACAAAAAAGGGATTTTACCCCTATTGGAATTAGCTACGATGATGCTTTCGATCGACTCCATGCCAAGGGACTCATTACCCCTATTGGACCTCTTCAAGATCCCCCTCTTGAGAAGAGATTTCCTAGTTGGAATCCAAATGTGCGCTGCAAGTACCATCAAGGTAGGGGTCATGCTACTGACAGCTGTTGGAAGCTAAAGGAGGCTATCCAACATTTGATTGATAATAACAAGCTTCCCATACCTCTAGTTAACAAGAAGAGCGAGTGATGATAAAGCAAACAACAGAGACAAGCTTCAACGACAAGATTTCATGACCTCTTTTTCCTTTTCTTTTTCTTTTTTTCCCTCCCCCAATAAGTCTATCATAGGCACCTTTTTATTCCCCTTAGATTAATTTTGTAGGTTCTTTCTTTTTCCTTTAATAAAATGAGCATTTTATTCTCTTACATATGATCATCACATTGCATTGCATTAAATAAAAAAAAAATTTAAAAAAAAATCCATGTCAAACTAAGCACAAGGTATGCCAATGATTTAAGGCACCCCTTGTAGCCACATCATATCACCTTTCACCCTTCAAATATGCAATCCTTTTTTGATAAACCACTTTGAGCCTCGTCTAATGATAGACCTTTCATTTTTCAACCCATATCTACCTAACCTTGGGATGGGACAGTGTGCAACTTATGCAATCTCAAAAGCTTGAGTGATTTCAAAAGATCAAAATAAAAAATAATAAGCAAAAAAAATATAATAAAAGTGTGCAAAAGGGCAAGTGTTCCAATGTCTTTGACATGAAAATGTCTTTGATAAGAACACGTCTCAGATTGCGTCTCTTATCGAGTGCTCGGTACCGTTCCTGAGAAACATGAATGCCAAGTGAGTGATAGACCGCATAATCGTGATTGCCCATACTTATAAAATAAAATAGATGCTAAAGAAAAAGAGAAAAGAGAGCTAAAAAAGAGTAGAAACTCAAGCATACAAAAAATATAAAGATTCAAAAGCAAGGTTGCACACCTTGGGGGCTTATTGAGGGTCTTGAGCCTTTATCCCCTTCTTCTATAACCTTTAGCCTAACCACGTTACAACCTTTAAAAAGACCTTTTTGAGGTATACACATACTTGTGCGAGGTTCGGCTAGAGCTACGTTTGGCCTGATTCCTAACGGATACGTAGGCAACCTCACATCGAGGTGCGGCCGTAATAAAATTACAGTCATATTCACATTCACACACTCACACCATGATCATATCAATGGATCCCCTGTGCTCATCCCTATTCATTTAGATCTAGACTTGGGGGCTTGATCCCTACATCATTAGCCTACCTAGCCTAAGAGTCACCATTATTTGACTCTTCTAAACATAATATTTTCCACACACTTAGCCCTTGCGGCCTAACTTTAGTGTCACTTTCAAACACATCACAGATACATGACCAAATATACCTTCCATTAGGAACCCTTTGTCATGGAATCTTAACACAACGTTGAAGCATGCCTTGTCATATCAACATTACTCATCAATCATAATTGTCATTGCATCGAAGTATGAAGTGCTTAGCCTCCGTGCCTAAGTTACCCAAATACTTTCATCATGGAGTCAACAATTGAGATAGCCTAGGATAAATTAATCCTTGCACCTTGAGAGATAGTATCAAACAACATTTGACTAAGCTCATTCAACATGCATTCGAAAACTTCGATTCTTTTTTCGCGTCTTTCTTTTTCGGGAGAAAGTCGGTACCCTCCACAAAAATGACGGAAATTTTTTGTTTTTTTTGCATTTTTGAGTCGCACGATCACACTACAATGCACACACAAGCCATGTACACATTGAGTCTTTTCGTGTCATATAACCTTGATTTGAGTCTAACGCATGTGTCAAAAACTTTGAGTCGAGTCAACCTCGAGTCAATCACAGCGAGTCAAGTTTATAACTTGAGCCCTGTCAATTCAATGAATTAACGCTAAACCTTAGGTCAACCCTAAGATAATTAAAGAGATTAGAAAAGTTCTATAGTAAAAAATAAATACAGTTGTAGCAGAATAGGGAAGACCCGACTCCAGCACCAGACGACAAGGTTGTCGTCTGGAAACATCATTTAGCGTCTGGCAATAGATTTCAGCGTCTGGCGCTAGATCTCAGCGTCTAACGACAGAGCCAATTCTTGGCGCCAGAGATATTTCAGCAGCGACGGAGCTCGAAGCCTCTCAGAAAGGTGATTTCGACCTCATACAGAAATTTCGGGTTCCTTGGTACGCGAGTTAGCCCCTATAAGCAATTTGACATGATTAAGTAGTCGGTTTGATTACAATTGCAATAAGTGATCGACCTGACGAAAGATCGTCTCACTTAGCTTAAAGCGCCTAAGCATTGGCTCATCACGGACATAATGGTTCACAAGCAGCAAACCGCCGACGTACTGGCATAACGGAAGCAAAGTTCAAGCGAGCTTTAGAGATCGGCAAGCGTTGGTCTTCGGAAATTTTTCTTCGGAATATTATCGCAAAAAACATTCAAGCATCGAAGCTCTTTTGTTCAGAGACGCGTGGACATATCATCAAAGCTCTTTTGTTCAGAGACGCGTGGACAATCCTTTCAAGCTCTTTTGTTCAGAGACGCGTGGACAATCCTTTCAAGCTCTTTTGTTCAGAGACGCGTGGACAATCCTTTCAAGCTCTTTTGTTCAGAGACACGTGGAAAATCCTTTCAAGCTCTTTTGTTAAGAGACGCGTGGACAATCCTTTCAAGCTCTTTTGCTCAGAGACGCGTAGACAATCCTTTCAAGATTTATTGTTCAGAGACGACGCGTGGACATATTAAAAAAGGAAGCTCTTTGTTCAGAGGCACGTGAACATATCCAAAAAAAGAAGCTCTTTGTTCAGAGACGAGTGAACATCGAAACAACAAGATGGCGTTCCCTAGATTGTGGAGAGTTGTCACAAACAACTAAAGGTGATTTCAAGCGAAGTTGTCTTCGATCATGTTCCCTTAGACGTGGAAGATGGTCACAAAGTGGAAGAGGATTGTTTCAAGCGGAGCAATCTTCGATAGTGTTCTTTTAGACGCGGAATATTATCGAAGCGGAAGAGGATCGTTTCAAGCGAAGCAATCTTCTAAATAGGAAGCAGTTACAAGCGTAGCGGTTTTCAAGCGGGATGGAATTCTCTTGGCACGAGGTCATCAAAACAACATTAATGCGGCAGCAAATCAGTTACTTTCAGAAACGAGTGCTCGACGGTGCAAGATACGCGTTTCTTAACTCTTTTATCTGTTTTAACTAACGCTAGTTTGTAGGTATCGGCGTTACAAGTGTGATTAAGGATCGTAGAACTTTCTGAATCATTCTCCGTCCCTATCAAT